TCGCCGGTCGCTCCACTCAAACAGGGAATGTATAACTCCGCGTTTCAGCCGTTGCTAAAGTATATTTGGCGACCCTTTTTTTACTCGTGGCCCCCTCCCTCTCTAATCAAGTCGAAAAATTCGGAAGTGCGCCCTCTCCTGGCGACAGCAGAGTAGTGTCGCTTTCCTTGCAGGAGAAAGCACCACCAGGGCTTTCGCTAAAACGTGGAAGTGTGAGAATGGTGTATTATATCGAACATTTATCGAACCTGTCTTATCGCTCTATCGAGGAAAAGTTATATCGCGATACTTAACGTTATCGTTTTATCGCCCAGCCCTATCATGGAGTGTTAAATATATAAGAAAAGATTTCACTCGCCTTGTATTGTTCTGATTGAACAGAGGCACTATATGGACAAAAGTATTGAGACACCTACGCATTACACCTACAGGAGCTTTAATGAAAATCCCATTCAAAATCCATAGGCATTAATATGGACTTGGTCCCCCTTTGCAGCTGTAACAGCTTCCACCCTTCTGGGAAGCTTCTACAGTATTTTTGAGTGTCTGTGGGAATTTTTTTGCCCATTCATCCAGAAAAGCATTTCTGAGGTCAGACGATGTTGGACGAGAGGGTCTGGCTCCCAAACTCCATTCTAGTTCATCTCAAAGGTGTTCAGTGGGGTTGAGGTCAGGGATCTGTGAGGGCCAGTCAAGTTCTTCCGCACCAAACTCACCCAGTCAGGCCTTTATGGAGCTGCTTTGAGCACTGGGGTTCAGTCATGCTGGAACAGAAAAGGCTCTTCTCCAAACTGTTCCCACAAAGTTGGAAGCATAGAACTGTCCAAAATGTCTTGATTTGCTGAAGCATTAAGATTTCCCTTCACTGGAACTAAAGGTTCTAGGTCAACCCCTGAAAAACAACCCCATATCATCATCCCTCCTCCACCAAACAGTTGGCACAGTGCAGTCAGGCAGGTAACGTTCTCCTGGCATTCGCCAAACCCAGACTCGTCCATCAGACTTACAGATAGAGAAGTGTGATTCGTCACTCCACTGAATTTATTTCCACTGCTCCAGTCCAGTGGCAGCGTGCTTTACAGAGCTCATCAGTACGACCCATTCTACCAGTGTTTGTCTATCAAGACTGAAAGGCTATGCGCTTCATTTTATCCACCTGTTAGCAATGAGTGTGGCTGAAACACTGAAACACTGAATGTTATGCTCAGCATCTTCAGAAATGACCACACTAGGTGTGACACCATTGACAATACTCACAAATAGGCTTGCAGACCTGCCAACCTTTACGCATTTTGAGTAGCAGGTGCATGTTTTGCCATGTGATTATGCTGATACGATTTGTCTACACAAAAATCTGGTAACACTTGTGAGTTCAGTTCAGTACTCAAGTCTAACAGCAAGAGGCAGCAGCATCTAGCCTTCTGAAAAACAAGAGAGGAAGAAGAGTTCGATCAATCATAGCGGTGGGTTCATTCCCCCGGGATGTCAAATTCATAATGTCAGTCATTTCAAGAGACTGCAAATCGACAGCAACACGAAATGGTCTTTATTTCTCGCGATCCCACCTCCTCACTGGCTTTACCTCCTTTGCAAAGGTAAACAAGCTGGGGTGGTTGTGGAAAGATGAAATTGTGGTTTGAGTTAATGCAGATCTGCCAACCCTGGGAAAATATTTAACGTTAATAATGTTAGCTTACTGTTAAATAATTTTGCTAGCTTGCTTGTCTGCCAAGCATTTAAGTCGACAAATATTAAGTTATATTTTCTGTGTGTTGTAGATTATTGAAAGTCACTTTTCAGCTTTTATATGCTTTTCTTTTTATATACCGTATTCATAATTACACTGCAGCCAGTCCCGTAACCGTAATGCGCAGATTGTGGCAGGGTGGAAAAAAGCAAGTGCATGTGCCACAGAAATAACGTTACCTAGAAAGTTACCAGGAGGTGTGTTTTTGTGTGTTCGCGTGCCTTACAGTTAAAATAAACATGACGTCAGATGGGGAGAGAACAGCAGACCGTGCTGAATAAGCGGTGAGTGGGGAAGTGACCGTGTGCTAGGTGAAGTAGTTTTTTTGTCTATTCAATTTTGTTATTTTAAGCGTTACTCTATTGTGCTATGCAAAATATTTTCCCAGGGTCGGCAGCCAGTTGCACCAGCTGAACGCAAGTTCGACCGAAAGTTGTGGTGTAAAGTCCGTCCTAACCCTTACGTTGAGAGTAGTTCGTTTAAAACTAGCAACACACAGAATTTCGGTTGCACCACAGACACTTACGGTACATTTTAACTTGTTGAGCATAAAAAGTGATTGTAGATTAAAATCCTGTCGCACAGAATGACGTTTTCACTCTCTGCAGCCAATCAGTAACTCTACCCAACATAAACATAAACAGTGTTTATTCAGTTCTGCTGCTGAAATGTTTCCGATGTTCAAACTGGGCTCTTGTGCACAATATTTGAACGGTACATCAATAAGCGGTCGGTAATGTTAGTGAACCTACAGCTAATGTAACTTTTAATTGCTGTTTGCATCTGCTGGATGACAGAAGGGTAGCGTTAGCTGTGTTAGGTATATCGCTGTTCTTGGAAGAAAACCTTGTATCTCCATTTTTCAGTTTTTGACATCATTTGAAAATGCTTGTTGCCCTTTACATTATATGTAAATCTCATGAATAATGGACCAAAAGAAGTGTCCCAAAATTACTTGGAAAGACGTCTGGTTCCATTGACCTCCATTAAAAGTAAAGTGTGTTTTTTCCTTGTCCTGTAAAGTTACCATTTTGGAGATACAAGGTTTTCTTCCAACAACAGCGATATATATATATATATATATATATATATATATATATATATATATATATATGTATTGTATGATAATAAGGTCAGTGTCACACACAGTGAACACTGATGTAGCTGCTCTTATTACTCTGAACACTGTTGACTTGTGTACTTGAACAGAGTCGCCCGCCAGGTTTTGGAATGACCCTCTAGAAAAATATCTCAGTGCCGGACACAAAGCAGGACTCAGGGCTCCGTTACGGTCTGTGTTGTGTTGCAGATCTGCGGCTAGGAGGTCTGTGATCTTTTCAGTCTCCGATCGATGAAAACTGGTGTAATCTATCCTGGAGAAGTGATTACCGATGCAAACCGAGACGTATTTCGTTTTCTTGCAAGCTTTCCCATCGATCAAATCGTCCAGCCATTTTAACTGACTATAGGGTATGTGTGAATTTTAAAGCTACGTTGAAACTACGTTACTTGGTACAACTGGGTAAGTTCTAGTAGCTCATAAACCTAAATGTAGTGGCAGTTTACTTTTAAACTAGCCTACGATTGAACTTTTGATCAGCTGGTGCAACTGGACTTGTGAGATCGTATGCATTATATTATCATCCGATCATGGCGTGTAGCTGTTAACAGTTGATGATCTAATAAGAGCAAAAAAAAGACACAAAAAGCAGCCTTGCTATCCCTTTGCTGTTGTAGTGGTTGGTATAGTGTAGTAGGTAACACCTCTGCCTTCTACGCTGTAGACTGGAGTTCAATCCCCGCCTGGGCAAACACCCTATACCAATAAGAGTCCTTGGGCAAGACTCCTAACACTGCCTTCACCTACCTGTGTAAAATGATCAAATTGTTAGTCGTGCTGGATAAAAGCATCTGCCAGATGCCGTAAATGTAGCACTGTAAACTGTCCCTGTTGTGGGACTAATAAAGGATTATCTTATCTTATTTGGCTCAAGCCTTGCAGCAAAGGCTGAGGCAGGCTTGTGTGCTGCAACTCTGACTTATCACTGCTTCCTCAACTCACATAAAGTCCTTTACATCACAAGCCACCAGAGCACATGGTTTAATAAGTCAGAAGCATTCACTTAAAGTGCAGACCACCGGCATCTGCACCACTAGAGGGCCTATGCGAAGAGGTTACTCAATGGGTCAATAGCAAATGGAAATTCAAATCATATTCAAATGAAGACTACAGTAACTGCTTTGACTGTGACTGGAAACAACTGGACAGTCTTTGAGTCTCGCATGTATGAAGCTTTAGTTTGGTCTGGGATCAGTTAATGCTTTAAGACCCTAATGAATAGAATTAAATAGGCAAAGCATCAGCACTTTTCTGTGATGCTTCACACATATGGGCTTTGACTTTTGTTTGTGGATGCCCTTCATAGGCGCGGAGGGAGTTCCTTTCTGTCTGAAGATTCTCCAGAATCGTAAACTCTCTCATTAGCAAAGCAGTTTGGAGCCAAAAGCCTCTGCCAGCTGCTGCTGCATCTCACAATAAGGCCCACTGTGGTGGATTTATTGTACAGTAAACATGCGATTTCTTTAACTTTCCTCTTTCAGGTCCAGTTGAGGGGGTGGGTGGGAAGAGCAACAGTGGAAGTTTTAATATTTTTCACACGCTTTTGAACCAAACCACATATACGAATTAGCAGAGACCCACAGATGCCACTTGTAGCCACTGAACATGACCTTGCTTGAACCTCAACTTTGTGAAAAGAAGCATGGATGTGCCAAATTTTTCAAGAGTATTTTTTAAATGAAAGGCTCGACTGAGTGTGTGCAGCAATAGTGTGTGTACTAGTTCATTGTTAATGATTTTTGCTCCTGGTGACTCTCCTACAAAGTTTTATTGCAACCCTAATTGTATCCCCCTGATTCGTCCATACAGGTGCTTCTGAAAGCATTTTAGGATCCTGTGAAGAATTAAAAACCGTGCAGTGAATGGGACTTTTAAGGTTTTGCCTGTATGATATGTAACAGTAATAGAGTTACAGCCCAGCACTGCAATAGAATATTCTAAAACAAATTTCTTCGGTTAAATTAGATGATGTATTTGTTGTTGGTGAATCGACTTTATTATAAAACATTTTTGAAATGTAAAAAAAATCACTACTTGCTTTGATGGGCCTGTAATTTATATAGCATAGCATAGCATAGTACGTGTGCAGCATGCTTGTGCAGCAGCGAAGCAACGTGTCTCTGCCTCTGTCAGGACAGCAGTGAAGGGAGGGCGGAGGTCCAGCCGGAAGAAGTGGCCCAGTGGTGGGGTGAATGGAGCAGCTGGAGCACCTGCAGCTGGACCTGTGGAGGAGGGGTCCGCTCCCAGGAGCGCCATTGTCTGCAGCAAAGGTACTACCAGCAGCAAAACTAACACCTACAAGCCTCTACCAGACAGAGGTGACCGTTTATGAGACCCAGGAGACAAGTGCCAAATTTAAGGAGGGCCCTGTTTTTTTTCCATGAAAACACATTTCAACCTGACCGTTATTTTTTATTGTTGCATGGTCGTGTATCAGAAATATGCTAATTCGAACTGAACCCGACTATAGCTGACAACATTCTGTCTGAACCGAATTTAGCCCAGAAAATTCTGTCTGAACCCGACTGTAGCCCAATAAAATTCTGTCTGAACCGACTGTAGCCAACAAAATTCTGTCTGAACCGACTGTAGCCCAACAAAATTCTGTCTGAACCGACTGTAGCCCAACAAAATTCTGTCTGAACCGACTGTAGCCAACAAAATTCTGTCTGAACCGACTGTAACCCAACAAAATTCTGTCTAAACCGACTGTAACCCAACAAAATTCTGTCTAAACCGACTGTAGCCCAACAAAATTCTGTCTGAACTGACTGTAGCCCAACAAAATTCTGTCTGAACCGACTGTAGCCAACAAAATTCTGTCTGAACTGACTGTAGCCAACAAAATTCTGTCTAAACCGACTGTAGCCAACAAAATTCTGTCTAAACCGACTGTAGCCAACAAAATTCTGTCTAAACCGACTGTAACCCAACAAAATTCTGTCTAAACCGACTGTAGCCCAACAAAATTCTGTCTAAACCGACTGTAGCCCAACAAAATTCTGTCTGAACTGACTGTAGCCCAATAAAATTCTGTCTGAACCGACTGTAGCCCAACAAAATTCTGTCTGAACCGACTGTAGCCAACAAAATTCTGTCTAAACCGACTGTAACCCAACAAAATTCTGTCTAAACCGACTGTAGCCCAACAAAATTCTGTCTGAACCGACTGTAGCCCAACAAAATTCTGTCTGAACCGACTGTAGCCCAACAAAATTCTGTCTGAACCGACTGTAGCCAACAAAATTCTGTCTGAAACCGACTGTAACCCAACAAAATTCTGTCTAAACCGACTGTAACCCAACAAAATTCTGTCTAAACCGACTGTAGCCCAACAAAATTCTGTCTGAACTGACTGTAGCCCAACAAAATTCTGTCTGAACCGACTGTAGCCAACAAAATTCTGTCTGAACTGACTGTAGCCAACAAAATTCTGTCTAAACCGACTGTAGCCAACAAAATTCTGTCTAAACCGACTGTAACCCAACAAAATTCTGTCTAAACCGACTGTAGCCCAACAAAATTCTGTCTAAACCGACTGTAGCCCAACAAAATTCTGTCTGAACTGACTGTAGCCCAATAAAATTCTGTCTGAACCGACTGTAGCCCAACAAAATTCTGTCTGAACCGACTGTAGCCAACAAAATTCTGTCTGAACTGACTGTAGCCCAACAAAATTCTGTCTGAACCGACTGTAGCCAACAAAATTCTGTCTGAACCGACTGTAGCCCAACAAAATTCTGTCTGAACCGACTGTAACCCAACAAAATTCTGTCTGAACCGACTGTAGCCAACAAAATTCTGTCTGAACCGACTGTAGCCAACAAAATTCTGTCTGAACTGACTGTAGCCCAACAAAATTCTGTCTGAACCGACTGTAGCCAACAAAATTCTGTCTGAACCGACTGTAGCCCAACAAAATTCTGTCTGAACCGACTGTAGCCCAACAAAATTCTGTCTGAACCGACTGTAGCCAACAAAATTCTGTCTGAACCGACTGTAGCCCAACAAAATTCTGTCTGAACCGACTGTAGCCCAGAAAATTCTGACTGAACTGACTGTAATAAAAAATTAAAAGACTAATTATGAGCCACGCAAAATACCGTTAATAATTTTAAATGTTAAGTGCCTTTGAACAGCATCCCAAAAGTTATTAGTCTGGATAAACTTTATGTAATTTGTTGTTCTCATGCTGGCCAGGTTAAAGGTATTGCAGGAGCATAGAGCAAGCCCAAGTGCAGACCAGGTGTCTTTAAAAGTGGCTATGAAAAACCAAATGTAAAATCTGAATCTGACTTGAAACCGGCAGATATTTGAGAAATTATGTCAAAATTTGAGCAAACCCAACATGAATATTGTGATCCTGTTGGGTTTTCTACAAGAAGTTCTACTCCCACCTCCCCCAACCCTACCCCCTTGGACTCCACTCACTAATTATTGGTGAAAGGCTTGATAGGTCAGATTGACCCTGCTCTGAACCCTCCTCACCCTGGGTAGCGTCACTCACCATCAACTTGTAGGTTAAAAAATGCATTTCATGTGGGATTATATAGCCCTGAATACTCAGTGTGGAGAGCCCCCCCCCCTTTCCTTTTACTTTACCAACTGCATTAACAGCCTCAGATTTCGTAACTGGTTCATTCTGGGTTTTGCTTCCAAAGCTGCGTCCAATTTACTGCCCTACGTGCTTGTTGAAGTAAAGGAAGAAGGAAAGTGACAGTTAAGAAAATTACATTAGCTGAAGTTTCCTGATGAAAATTGCACTCAAACCCAGCTTTATTATGGGTAACCAAATACTGAACATAAGGTGGTAAATGCTTATAGATGATTACAGAGCCTCACTCTTACTTTCATTTGTAAAACATGGTAAAACGTACCAAGGAAAAAAAAAGTAGAACCAGCATATTCTACTGTTATTTGATGCACGTTTTTGATTTGTTCTTAGTCTTACATTTAGAATATATGATAATGTATAATTTTATAGGGATGTCATATTTTTGCATCATTATAAAATCACTAAAATTGTTAGCTAATGAAAATCATAGTCACAGCATGTGTACCAACTGAGTACCATCAGTGTTTTACCGCTATAAATCAGGGCTGCATGATAAATCATATTTTTATTACTATAAACACTTTGATTAGAGCTGCAGTGACAGAACAGATCGAATTACCTCATAGATGAAGTGCCAGAGAAGCTTTATTACATTGTCAGCACAAACCATTAGAAGCCTAGTGAGAGCTTCTCTACACTGGGACTAAACCTTGCTCTGCTCATGGGTGATGAATGACTTAACCATTAGGCCAAATAGCCAATTACAGAATGCACACTCAAAAACTCCCCCATCCAGAACTACTATGCAAAAATGCATCAAACATTAGGATTGTTCTCACACTGTAATGGCTACTGTCACAGCAAACATACTTTATAACTAAACTAAATAAATAAAAATATTTTTGTTCTCATGCATCTCTATAAAAATAAATATATATTCATATATAGTTTTTGTAGCCTTTATAGTTTCTTGGGCTTTTAGTGCACAAAAATGTGCTTGCAGGTCTAAGTAGCTGTAAGTATTGCATTTCTTTTTGTTTGGCACAATAGTGAACGATTCTTTTCTAATTTTATGTTGTGCTATGTGTTTAAAGCTTGGTATAGTGTAGTGGGTAACATCTCTGCCTTCCATTCTGTAGACTGGGGTTCAGTCCTACACTATACCAATAAGAGTCATTGGGCAAGACTCCTAACACTACCTTTGCTTACCTGTACCTGTGTAAAAGTGATTAAATTATGAGTCGCTCTGGATAAGAGCATCAGCCAAAGGCCATAAATGTAAACATAAAGGAAAGGTTAGTTAGATTTCTGGTTAGACATCCACAAAAAAAACAGGTCACATCCCATCAAAGGTACACTATTTTAATAATGATTTATTGGGTCTCTTATCGTCATTGTAATATTTGACATCTTTATTGAATATCACATTTTTATATCAATATCATACAGCCCTTCTACAGTCTAAATATGAAAAATGCACACAACAAAATTACAAAATTATAGCTAAAGCTAAAACAGAGCTATTTGTTAATTGGATACCCCACAAAAGTGCGTTTAGTTAGTGTTAAATGTAGACACTACAAGACAAACTGCAATCAAGTCAGCTAATTTCTGTGTATAACAGCGTTAAAAATGCGTAATTTACCACTTTCAGTAGACTCTAACATGTATGACTGAAAAGTGATACAAAAACAGTACTGTGCAAGCTTAATACTTCATAGCCAAGACAGTTGACTGTTTATCTTGGCAGTAAATGTTTTTTTCCAGTGAAAACACTTAAAATATATATAAATAAACAAAAATACAGTCAAATATAAGAAGGTTTGGGTAGCTATAAATACTCAGAGGTTTGAAAACGAGTGCATTTACGTGCACTTAATAATCCGATAACTACAGAAAATCAGATTTTGTCAGTAATGTGTAAAGTAAAGTGTTAACATGCTCTTGGGTAATCAGATAATGGGGAAACTCCGGGTCTACATGAGTCAGACAGTAATCAGATTTCTGCTTTTCAACCAGCCAATAAACTCACAGAAGAAGGCGTGATGTAAATGTAGCGTAAAACTCAAACTTCATGCTGCAGCTGTTATTTTTTTTTAATATCGAGTCACTTTACCTGAAAATATGAACGTACATCATCTAGAAGATGAAGAATATTTAAATCCTTCATTTCATCAAGGCTGTATTTGGTTTCAGCGTTGCTCCAAAAGTGTTTTGCTGCGTCTCATGGCGCAGCTGCTCGCTTATTTCCGGTACCGCTGTCTGTTTTTACACATGCACAGACTGAGAAATCCGAAAGAAATCAGAGTAAGAGTTTACAAGCACTGAGAAATCTGATTACTGAGCTAAAATCCAGCTCTCTTTATTGGATTTCTAGACCTTACTCCGATCTAAGAGATCAAAGTTTTTCTCTTTACATGAACATTTGAATAATCAGAGAACTGCAGAAATCCATGTAAACGCACTCAGTGTTTAACAGACTGTGTTATCCAAGCTCAGCATAGCATTTGTTTACTTATTTGGGCATTCAAGTAAGGCATCAAAAGGGAATGTTAAACATTCCACAATACATGTTTTTTTCTTTGAAATTTGTTAAAATGTGATAAACTGGAAAATGGATGTTGTTGAAATGGGAAAAAATGTAGTTTGGGGAGGATAAAGTGTAGCCTATGTGTTGGAAACACTGGCTTGCGTGATCAGTACACAAATTATGTCAATAATGTTTTGTCATAATTTAGTCAAGTATACATTTCTGTGAGTTAATCTTAATTTTTCTTAATTTTTTTGTTTTCATGCTGTAGATTCACCTATATTTCAAAAGCAGAACATGGATTAGACCACTTTAGCCCCCGCCAGAGGGAGAGGGGAGAAAAGAGGGGGAGATTTTGCTTCTTATGTCCTCCAGAATAGCCGCTCAGGCTGAGTAATGGCATGTGGAAGGATCATGAATTTACCGGTCACTGGCCCACATGACACAGGCAATTCCGGTCGGAATGACAAACATATTTATAAAATGCCTTTTAGAGCAAATGGCCAGCCATTTTGGGAAGATTCCTCTGCAGATAAGGGCTTATGTTGAGCTAGGCCAGCTGGCCCCCATTAGCACTCCCCTGTGTCTGTTGGGGAGGGGGGCTCAGTGGTAAGGCAGAAAGATGAGGAGGAGACACATCTGGAGTGGGCTGAAAGGGGTGGTGCAGGATAGTTGTGAAAAAGCCTGGGAAAGTTCTACATCTGTAGGCCAGGTAGGTTATTCATGAGAGACGTGCAGTGTGTGTCTGATCCCGGGTGATGAAAGACAGCATGTGCTGCCAAACATCAGCGCTAACAAAGAGGTTGAGGATGTCAGTGGACGTCAGCTTTGAGTTCCTGGATTGATCAATTGCTGGTAGAGCTGCACAATATAGACAATATATGATATAAGATTCTGTTAAATATCACGATTGCAGTTTGGCTTACAGTGTATTAAAAAACACAATTGTGAGTTTATGGACAGGAAAAAAATCAAGAACTGGCTTATAATTATTTAAACGAGTTAGATCATGTGAATGCTTGATCTGAGGTCGGTCCAGATGGACACGCAGTAAACAAACTTTGTGATTGGTTGGAGGGCTTATTTGCGTATTGCAGCCCTTTATCCGATGCCAAGACTGCAGTAGTAATTAACAAACGAAATGTTGTGCAGCCCTGATTACTTCTATAGTACTGTTGATACTAAAGTTCTGGAACTAGTGAGCCACAAAAATCCACTTTGTGTCCTAAATGGATCCCTGAAAATGAAACAGGCTACTTTAAACAAAGTAGTATGTGAGCTCGTTCTGATTGCAGCCATAACATTCACAAAATCCTAGTAGGATTAACTGAAGTAAATCAGATTTTGTCAGTAATCGAATCAACATGTTTACATGCGCTTGAGTAATTAGATAATGGGGAAACTCCAGGTCTACAAGAGTCAGACAGTAATTAGATTTCTGCTTTTCAGCCAGCCAATAAACTCACAGAAGAAGATGTGATGTAAACATAATGTAAAATCATCATGCTGCGGCTTTTTAAAAAAAAATGTTGCGCCACCTTACTTGAAAATATGAACCTACATCATCTAGAAGACGAAGGATATTTAAATCCAAAGGCGTTTCGCTGCGTCTCGTGGCGACGCTGCTTTCTTATTTCCGGTACCACCATCAGTTTTCGCACATGTGCAGACTGCACTCACTGATAAAGTACGTTTACATGCACTTGATAATCCAATAACTGATGAAGTTCAGATTTTGTCAGTAATCAACGTGTTTACATGGACTTGAGTAATCAGATAACGGGGAAACTCCAGGTCTACATGACTCAGGCAGTAATCAGATTTCTGCTTTGCAACCAGCCAGTAAACTCACAGAAGAAGACGTGACGAAAACGTGATGTAAACCTTCATACCGCGACTTTTTTTCAAAAACATTGTGCCACTTTACCTGAAAATATGAACAGACAACACTTAGAAGAGAATATTCAAATCCAGCATGTAGTCGGTTTCAGCGTTGCTCTAAAAGTGTTTTGCCCCGCAGCAGCACTGCTTACTTATTTCCGCTCTGTTTTCATGCATGCGCAGACTGAGAAATCCGAAAGAAATCAGAGTAAGAGTTCACATGCACTGAGAAATCTGATTACTGAGCTAAAATCCAGCTCTCTTTATCGAATTTCTTAATCAGATTTCTAGGCCTTATTTCAATCTAAGAAATTGCAGTATGGTGTCCACATTAACTGCAGAAATCCGATTATGGTGGGATTATTGAGTGCATGTAAATGTACTCATTGATGGTCTCATTAAAGCAATTAGAAATTAAATGTACACAATGTTCTTCTTTCCCCAAATGTCATTGATTTATAATACTTTACAAAATACTGCTACCTATTAGAAACGTAATGAGGCAGGTGTGGGGTGATTTAACATGCAGTTTGCTTGATGCCACATAAACCTCTGTTACACGTTAGCTTCATTAGCCTCACAGCTCCAGTGCAAAACTAAACTTCGGCAAACTTCAGACATCAAACATGTCTTGGCTGATCAACTCAACTGCATTTGGGTAGTTTTTGTTGATTCATAAGTGTGATTGTCTCTTTCTAGGCTCACCACCACGCACAACATCAACAGTTCCTTCTGCATTGGATCGCCCAAGCAGTACCAGCTGTGCACAAACCAGGTAGGGCACAGTCCTCGCCAGTATTTTACGTGATTTGAGATCTCCCAAGTAGGGGCTTTCTGTGTATAATTAAACGATAAGCAGAAATAACGTGAATCGTAAGCATTGCCTGGGTGGAATATTCCACCAGAGCCAGCTGGCATGCCCCTACATTCTCACACGTGTTAGTTTAAGGCTGTAATATCTGCAAGCTGTTTGACATGCTGCCTACTCTCTGAGCTGCGTCTTTATTGATGTGTGGATCCGTGCCTAGCCGTGCCCCAACAGCAGAATCAGCTTCAAACAGCACCAGTGTTCCCAATTCAACGCCAAAGCCTTCAGCAGGAAACATTACGAGTGGGTTCCCCTCTACCCAGGTAAAAAAAAACCCTCTTTATGGTTTTTTACTCATGCCCTCTGCTTCTGTCCATCTTCCTTCTTTCATAACACAGATGCTCTCATCTTCCCTTTGCTCTCCTCTGTTCTTTTTCTGACTTTTCCTCCATTTTGCTATGCTACAAAACACAGAACTTCCACTGATGTACCGCTTTTATGGCTTCGGGCCAGCCGATCCAGGCTTATATCTCGCAGATGCGCGTTTGAGGCTATTTCCGAAGCCTGTGGTCTCGGAGGAACAAAAGGGGCCTTTCTATAACACAATGAGGAACTTCTATCTCCAGCGGAGCCCTCCAAAGCCTAGAGTTTAACGGCATTAATGATGTCATGTCTTGTCCAGATGATTACATCAGCATTTCCAACAAGCCGTGTGACCTCCAGTGCACGACCACCACAGGGGAGAGGCAGCTTTTGGTTCCAGCTCGTGATGGGACCTTCTGCAGGGACGGGGTCTATAAAGGTGTCTGCATCGAGGGCCATTGCCAGGTACACCATGCTGACACACTGACTCCAGTAATGTAAATCTCTGAGCACTGACTTAAGTTTCAGATTTTCAGATGATATGATTCAGAATTATTCTGAAAAATGCACTGGTTATACCAGGGGTTGGCAACCCAAATGTTGAGAAGAGCAATTTTGTCCTTTCAATAAAAGTCAGACCACCTTGGGAGCCACAACATTTTATGTCCATTTTACCATCTTGTAAATTCCTACTATAGGCTAAAAAATAAAATAAAAATAAAAACTCAGACTTACTTTGCTCTGCTTTAAACTTTCGCTCATCTATAGCTGCTTTTCTCGCATCTCCGGCAGGAAACTTTTTCGCAAAAGTAGAAGAGTTTCTTGTAAAATGTCTCTCAGCGTTTGATTTTTTGCGAGGCTGAATTCAGCTTCTCATTCACAGCTTCTTGTTTGAATTTTCCCGTTACACCTTAAATGATAAATGATGCCTGGGGCACCATAATGTAACTGTAGCACCATTTAAGGTGGAACGGGAAAATTCGAACGAGAAGCTGACTTCAGTTTTGCGACTTTTTAGTGTTTGACAGTTTCTCATTGCAGATTAAACAGATCAGGAAACCAGCTGGAATGATTATAAACGCAAATAAATCCTTTTGTCTCCAAATTATCGATGTTCGTCTTAAATCTTTCTCTTTGCCGTTTCGTTAGCTACTAGCTAGGCGAGAGTTGTCTGCATTGCTATGGTGAACAGCAGTCTGAGCGCCAGCCTGCAGGGTTAAAGGGTGAATTAGCAGTTCTACATTAACTCCAGCATTTAAAACCATTTATTGTTAAACTGTGTTGAACGATCAGCAGAGTTTTATTTTACTGTAAAGGAGGATTATTTTATTATTACCTAATAATCTAATTCTGCTGTGGAGCCGCAGCAGGGCAGTAAAAGAGCCGCATGTTGCCGACCCCTGGGTTATACAAATGTGACTTAGTTAACTGTTTCATTTATTTTTCAATTTAAGTGACCCTTATTAGTCCCACAATGGGGAAATTTCACCTCCACATTTAACCCATCCATGCAGTGAAACACCACATACACACTAGTGAATGCACACACACTAGGGGGCAGTGAGCACACTTTCCCGGAGCGGTGGGCAGCCCTATCCGCAGCGCCTGGGGAGCAGCTAAGGGTTAGGTGCTTTGCTCAAGGGCACTTCAGTCTGTCAGCTCAGGGGATCAAACCATGACCTTCCGGTCACAGGGCTAGTTTCCTAACCTCCAGCCCACGACTGTGTTGGAATATAAACAAAAACAACAAAACAAATTGCACATTAAATATCATTGTAATTAATTACAGTCAATTCTAACATTACAAAAAGTCAGTGCACTTGAATTGCTTCTTTAAGATCGATGCATCTGTGCACTTTTATACCCCTGACTTTTCCAGACAAGATCTTCAGTTGTTTTCATTAAATTCAGTTGTTCTGTGCAGCAGCGCAGTGGTTTGCAACCTAGTAAAGCAGATTCCTACGGCTCTTGCTAATAAACTGTTAATATGCCAATAACTAGGTAGCTGTAAAGTTTGAGAAGATAATTGCGGCCCTTAGGGGTTCAGTCAGGTAGGTCTAAGTAGTTGTTAAGTTACGCAGCCTAATCATTTAAGAAAAAGTGGCTATTTCAGCTGTGCTTACTCAAGAAAGGCTGACCTCTCTCTGTGCTGATGTCCTCTGTCTGCCTCTGTGTAGGTGGTGGGATGTGATGGGAAATTGTACTCCAGTAAAACTGTAGACAAATGCGGCGTCTGCGGTGGAAGTGGAGACTCTTGTTACCGTGTCTCAGGATCTTACCGGAAAGGGATCACACAGTTAGGTATATCTTATGCTGGCATTAACAGGTCACAAAAGTCACAGAGACTGTGTTCTGGTCAGTTCCACATCACCCATGCTTTCAGACCACATTATGCAACTTAAATACCTCTTTTAAACCCAGTTTTCCCAATAAAAAGTTTTTTGTGATGTCATTTATTCACATATATTTCTCAAAGAGTTAATTTTATGGTGAAGACTGAACTTGAAGTGTATAGTCTTTCCTGGATGGACAGTGACTTTTTGCAGCATCTATAATGGCATGGACTAATTTGAAATTGTTCATATTTTCTATGATTCATCAGGCTACGCGTTTGTGACCAATATACCTATTGGAGCCACCGACATCCAGATCATTGAGCGACGAAAGACTGAAAACATATTGGGTAAAATTCTAAGCCAATTCAAAACACTGAAGTACATTGCAAAAATGGTATCTTGTCAAGTAAAACTGTCTTAAATATAGTCAATAAATCTTATATTTCTCCTGTTGAGATGGTTGTAAGCTTAATTTAGATTGTCTGACTTATTTCTAGACATTTTTTACTTGTTTAAGGTAATTTTATTAAGTAAAATTATCTCATTGTACTGGCAGATAATTTTGCTTGTTGTAAGAAATGTGCTTGAAGCCAGCAAAATTATCTGCCAGTGTAGTGAGATAATTTTACTTATCAAAATTACCTTAAACAAGTAAAAAACATCTAGAAATAATCTAGACAATCTTATCATAAGTGCACAACCATGTCAAAATGGGAGACATTAGGCTACGTTCACATTAGCAAGTTGAAGTGGCACAAAGCCCTAAAGTGACTCAGATCTGATGTTTTCAGGGTTGTGTGGACACGCAAATCTGATATTTTCAAATCTGACCCTAGCCACTTTCATATGTGGTCCTAGATCGGATACGTATCCGAATCGTGGCCATGCGACCTTAATGTGACGCTCAGATCTGAATTCATGTGCTTTTTTTCCACTGTGAGTGATTACTTCACGTGACGTTACTGAGTAGGATGTGCGCGTGAGGGTCATTTCAGGACGCCGGTTCACTTACCTGAACAAGTGTGAACCATCCCTGTCAGAGAGATCGGATTTGAGCAAAAAATCGGATTTGAGCAATGAGGCTTGTAATGTGAACGTAGCTTTAGATATATCGACTAGATTTAAGATCATTTCGCTTGACAAGATACCATTTTTTGCAGTGTACCAGTAATGATGAAACATAAAAGCACACTCCTACCTACAGTAGCTATATTATCAGTACCACACAGTGAATGCTTAGCAAAGAGAGTGAACTGAGTGCTTGTGGCTTTCTTTTTGTACACTCTAGCTCTGTCTGATGAAACTGGTCACTTCTTCTTCAATGGAAACACAATGATCGACAACCCGCGAAACTTCCACATAGCAGGGACAGTATTTAAGTACAGGAGGCCGGCTAACCTCTTTTCAGACGGCTTTGAGTACATCATGGCCCAGGGTCCCACCCAGCACGGACTGAACGTCATGGTAGGTATATAGGTATGTATTTCTGTTTTTAAAAGTATTTTGTCTGTCTTGAAGTATAATTTGTTCCTGTTATCCAGAAACCTGCACATACATGCAGAGATCGAAACTATGAATAACCCAAGGAAAAATGTGTCAAAAAATCAAAAGCTATCCTTTATTTTAGATAACTACTTAGCGCTACTTTATAAGGTCCACTTTATAGTAGTCCTTCTTTGCCTTGATGCAGATTTGCACACTCCTGGCATTCTCTCACCCAGCTCCATGAGAAGCCACCTGCTGTAACAGCTGAGTTGGAGAGGCTGAATTTGATTCCAAGATTTTTTCATTGTGAAGGCCAAAACCAAAAACTGTCTGAGATAAAGTTACCTGGCAAGCAGATTATATACAGCATACAGTATAAGAAACAAACACTGGTACATAAGAGCAGCACTACACAACTCAGAAACTCAAATACAAGAGACTTGTGGCAAATGGTGATGGTTTTGAGTCCTAATGAGGTCAGAACACCGATCAGGTAGGGTAATTAGTAGGCTGACAATGCAGAGCACTGGAAAGTGGAAGAAGGTCTGGCTGAGTGTGCATTAAATTTAGGTGGTATACAGAACATAAGGGGAAGGGACAATTTATAAGACATCTGCTTGATCTTCCAGATGACTTTTGGAGGACCTCACAAAGCAGTTGCTGAGTCTTCAGCAGGCAGAGGTTACAGTACCTTGTGTAGAGCTAGACCCTTTCCCCAGGTTGCAGTTTGGGGGGCCATCTGACAGCCAACAGCTCTGAACTCCCAGACCTTCCCAGCTGTACAAAACTGATACTTCACTGCAAGAGCAGTCCAGCTGAGGTCCAAACCATGGTGGCAGGGTGTTGATTGTCCAGGATGCACTGGAATGGGGTCACACTGGTGGAGGAGAGGGGCTAGAATAATGCGCATACTCTCTCTGCCTATTCATAGTATTCAATTACATTATTAAGAAGACGCCATTTTGGTAGGCAAGCTGTAACTCTGATTCTCTGATAGAGCTCATCTCATCACTGCATTTACAGCCCTGCAGGTGGATAAAAAACAACAAAATAGACCAGAATGACTGCAAAAAAGGTTTCAAGACATGGAGAGGCTTTAGATGCAGTCTCCAGAAAACGCCACGAGAAGATTCTCTAGATTGGTGGACTGGATCTGTTTAGCCTGCACATCTCTAGAGTTCAGAACATTCCAGTGCGTGATATTTTCTAAAAACTGATGAAAGTGGCTTCCAAAGCTGCCAAAGCTTGTAAAGAATAGACTCATGCATAAATATCAAGCTCACGTTAACTTCTTATTCATCAGCTTCTCATTTGAATTTTCTGTTCCACCTTAAATGGGGCTGCAGTTACACTGAGGTGACTTAAACATAGAATGAATTTCAGAAGTTGGCGAATATGAAGCCAGTATCAGCTTACCTCAATAAATGCATCAATTTACCTCAGTAAATGTGTTAAATGGCCTCATTAAATGATCCTTAATCAACAAATACCCTCAAACCTTCACTTGAAAATGTTTACTGAGCAGCTAATGAGCAGCACAGCGAAGCTATAATCCGCCATTAGAGGTACTTATCGTGTCTCACTGGCTTCTGTACTTCATTTATCACACTAATGAGTGCACTTCTAGTGGTATATGTGCTATTTTTGCATACTATTTAGTGTGCTAGTATGCGGTTTGGAACGTGCAAATAATAACGCCGCAGGATATCTCAGCCATTTAGACCACAGCTTTCGTTTGTCATCATTACAACCACAAATCAAATGAAGTCAAGTCAGTACACTTAAATTCACTGGTTAATGTGCTTTACAGATTGAAAAAGCGTTTAAAAACGTGTTATAAAGCCTTTGCTGGATCATACATACATCATCTAAACCACTTATCCTTCTGGGTCGCGGTGGGGTGCTGGAGCCTATCCCAGCTGTCATTGGGCGGAAGGCAGGATACACCCTGGACAGGTCGCCAGTCCATCGCAGGGCATTTGCTGGATCAGTTATGGCTTTTTTATCTCATTACAAACAGACACAGCACTGCTGAATGAACTTGAAGTTGCCAGCCAAAATGGTGGCAGCGCAATTGTGATGTAATCGGAATACTGTCAATTGGGGAAATTGAAACCACTCAACTTGAGAGCCTTAACGGCGTCTGCTCTTGGGTCATTCCCTTAATCTACCCGTTGGATGAAAAGTGGTACCCAGAAGTGAGGCTCACCATGAACCCCAGCTTGTCTGTAAAGGCTTTCCAGACACAAGACGAAGACTAGATCTTGGTTAAACATGATGCCAGAAAGGTTAATACAAGAAAACCTGATTGAATGGTGTAATTATCAGAGGGAGTAAACCAGTAATGATGTAAAATGTTAGAAGTCAAATGATGTTTGTAATAAGTCACTATGGGAAGGGCAAAGAGACACGGTTTCCTCCTGGAGCCTTCATGGAAACTTTGTGTTGCTGCACCAAGCAGCATTATACATGCTGTACAAAGGTGGGCCACCAGTATTTGTCTTCCAAAAGTTGCATGGCGCACTCTCTACTGTTCCATCTTTGCAGCAAACTAGGTGCGTTAGAGGTCAGTTTTCCTCCCCAGGTGGTGAACATCCTCCTCAACCTCCTATAGGACAGGTGCTATGATGCATACGAGAGGTATTATGGTCACTGGCCCCATTGTTATGTTCACAGTTTTTAGGAGATAGGAAAGAGCATCAGCTATAGAACTTTATTCATGACGGAAATTTTGATCCAAGCTCGGAAATGGCCTGGAATCATTTGGTCTTGAATTCCATGTGATATAATAACCTTGCTGAGGGATGTCTGTCCTAGCAATTCATAGCCAGAGAAGGCGTGCTGAAAAAAATGAGACATAAATTGAATGGATCCAGCATACCACTGAAAGGACAACTTCAAATTCATCCTCTCTAACGTCCAGTTTATGTCTGAGAAACTGTGGGAGCTCGGACATACGCTCTGTTAGCAGGCTGACACTAGGAGAATTTGAGGGATGGACTCTGTAAATGGGGCTTTTTGCTAAGAAAGCAATTTATTGAGAAAGGAGTCATTACACCCAGTTAAATATCTCTGTATTAAATTCAAAACTTAGGATTTCTTGTCACAAGTTGTATTTTCACAGCTCAAGGCATTGAAAAATTGAACCCCTTAAAATTCCAGGCTTATTACATACTAAGGCTTATTATTCATTAACTACAGGGACATCAGTGCAAACTAATGGAGCTATTCTTAGGTTTTAGAAGTAAAACTTTGGGCCTGCCGGTGGGCCCATGGCTTGGTAAGGGGTTAAACCTAACCTGAGCCTAACAAATATTTGGAAAATGGTGTCTTAAACCTCCTAAAGCTAACACAAGGCCCCATCAAGTTTAGAAAATATTTGAAAATCTAATCATCTTTAGTGTTTTTTGATCATGAGTGAGAGAAATCTGAAAACCCGTAGGGAAAAATAAAGCCCACCTGGTTGTCTGGGATGAAAGATTTTAGATAGGTAGGTAGGTAGGTAGGTAGGTAGGTAGATAGATAGATAGCCTCCAGGTACTGGGTCTGAACTCTTGTGATGGTTGCGTCTATCACATTACACACTGTCTGAGCATCCGTGTGAGGAGGAATGTAAACACAAACAACAATGGCGTGGGACAGTTCCCTGGGCACGCAATAAGGCCGAAGACTCACCGCCAGCAGTTCAATATCCCGACAGCAGATTATCTCCTTCACAGCTACATGTCCTGGGTTACACCATGTGATGTTCACAAAAAGCACGAGTCCCCCACCTTTGCTTTTGCCGCTTAGTTTGGCATCCCTGTCCACTCTCACGGTGGTGAATCCGGGAATGTCCACGTTAGCATCGGGAATGTTGCCGGTTAGCCACGTTTCCATGAGGCATAAAAGACTATATTCCCGGTATAACCGCTGATTACGAACCAGTGCCGCTAGTTCTTCTGTCTTGTTGGCCAAAGAGTTCACATTCCCACATCGCCACAGAAGGAATAGATGGAATAGAAACCTCCACCGTTTCTCCATTTGCTTAGCGACCCTTGGTTCGGAGCGCTAGCAGCTCTTCCCTTGTATAAAAAGTTATTCCTGCCTGCACGCATGAAAACAGGTTTCATTCCTCAATACATAGAAAATAGTCAGTAAATTAGCAATATAAGCGTATAAAGAAAAGAAAAAGTAGGGAAAAGTGCAAAAACAGTATACAAAGACAGAGCTACCGGAAAGGCTGCCATCCAGAGTGGCACCGGAAGACATATGTTTTCTGTGAAAACAAAGAATGTCTCCTTCCAGCCTGCATCTCCACTCCTCTAATGCCAATCGTAGTGCTGAAAGCTCCTGGTTACTGATATTATAATTGTGTGCACAGTGTTTTAGGAGGGAGGTGCACAGTTCCCTCAGTGTGCAGAAGACTGTAAAGCAGCGTCAGAAGCTTGTTTAGAGCAAAGATGTAAGGGGCTGCCACAGAGATGAAACCCTGAAAAGGCAGCTGTAAAAGTTGGCATACCCCAGTGACCACTACAAGTCTTTGGTGGTTGTTGGCTTTGGCCATTAACTAACTGCCTCTACCTTCTTCTCCTCTATGCTCCATCTCTCGGCCGTTCATATATCAATGGTACATAGCTTTAACAAATAGCTGGTTCTCTAACAAATATTGCAACCTTGCCCTGAAACCCGCATGACACTTAAAGTTTGCCGAGGGCATTGTGTGTGAGAACATCACTAACAAAGCATAGGAGTACTGAAGGAGAGTTTGTTAATCCGAATGGCATTACTAAATATTCCAAATGCCCGGAAGCAGCTCCTGAGAACCAACATGGTGCACCACAGAGCTGTTCAGTAGCTGCAGGCACCAGGGAGAAGGAGTGGTAATGGTGTTTGTGGGTTGAGACTCTAAGATTTGTTGGTTTCAGTTTAAGTGCCAGGTGTCTGCTACAGTTAAAGAGTGCTACAGCTCTGGGGAAAAAGCTGTTAGCATGTCTGGTTGTGCTGGTTCGGTTGGCCCTGAGTCTTTTACCAGAGGGCAGTGGCTACAAGAGATAATGTCCAGGATGACAAGGGTAAACCGTTATGTTGCCATCGTGCTTCACTGCTTTGCTGTTGTAGATGTCTTGATGTGCACTTCTTCAATATACCCATCCATGGCTTTGGTTTTTTGCTACCAACAGAGGATAAACCCAGTTGTGCAAAGGAGTAGCTCCAGCAAGAAGGTCAGTGGTGCAGTCCCTGGGGTAATGAGAAGGGAGACATGTGGCTTTGGTTTTGCTAAATACCTCCATGAGATCATGGATGGGTTGGTTGGAGACTTAGGGATTCTTAATGGAGGTGGATACTCAGGGCAGCTTTAAGCAATTTTTGTAGCATGGAGGAGATCAGGATGTGATTTCTGGCTAAGTCCAGTTAAAGCTTGGGTTATGTTGCTGGGGCCATGGTAGTCCTAGGATGAGCTAGTTGGTTGGAATGAACCATTAAGAAGAAGAGAAGTTCATAGTGTATCGTAATAATGATAACAAAGAACTGTCATTTGAGTTGCCATTCCAGTCTCTACTGGCCCCCCAACCAGGGCCTAAAAAGAGAGGGTATATAAAGGGTATTTACAGGGAACACAGCTTGTAGATCGCAGTCGTTAAAGGTGAATGATGAGAATCTGGCGACAGATGAGCCACAGCCAAGCTAATAACAGCCCAAACCAGTGAGCAGAATGTCATCTAAAAACACCACTGAGTGTGTTTCCATGCACTTAATAATCTGGTAACTGTATAAAAGTCAGATTTTGTCAGTAATCCAATCAACATGATAATAATTGGAAACTCCAGGTCTACATGAGTTGGGCAGTAATCGGATTTCTGCTTTGCAACCAGCCAATAAACTCACAGAATAAGAAGTGGTGAACACATAACGTAAAACTCAAACTTCAGACTAAGTAATCCGAAGAAATCAGAGTAAGAGTTTACATGCACTGAGAAATGTGATGACTGAGCTAAAATCCAGCTCTCTTTATCAGATTTCTAGACCTTAATCTGACCTAAGAAATTAGAATATGCTGTTTACATGACCATTTGAATAATCAGATAACTGCAGAAATCTGATTATGATTGGATTATTGCATGCAAATGCGCTCTCTTATTGGACGTTAATGTGAATGGGCTGCAGCAGTTGGTGTTGAATATGTTTTGGCACATTTTAGGGCCCTGTTCCCAGTTTTAATTGGTTCAGTGGCTTGCACAGTTCCCAGGTCTCGATTCTGTTGAGCATTTTAGGGAAGAGGTGGAAAGGGCAGTTTGCAGCAGGACTGGGCAGCCATTCAGTTTGCAGCAGCTGCACAATGTATTTATTTCCAGATGGCACAATATTCCTGAACCCTGCACCCTTCATCTTGTAGAATCTGCACCCAGGCAAAGTCATGCTGTTCTGAAGGCCAAAGGATTCATTCAGATGTGTCCAAACATTTGAACGGCACTGTAGTCCTGGATTTTATATCTGTCTGCTGTAGCTTTGTTTGACATGAAAGTAGTAATTTATCTTTTTGTCTCTTTTTAAAGTACTACAACCTCAACGGGAAGATGCCTCACATCACTTACGAATACACAGTGCCTCGAATCACAGAGGCTAGGACAGCCACCCCAGCCCCCTCCACCCTGGAGCAGCCTCAGCTGGGCAGTATCATGGCTGCCGCTCTCAAAGCCCCAACTGCTCCAGAGCCTGCGGCCAACGCGTCTTCTCCGATTCTTCCCTTTTCCGGGAATGAGATTGAGGCTCGCGAGGAGTTACGAAAGAAAGGGAATCAGAGCACTCATGCTGCTTCTAATGAGCGGATCGAGGTGCATGTGCATCCAGAAGATGTGCGGTGGGAGCTCCAGGCCCCTCACAACCTCAGTGACCCAGCAAGGGTCCTGCCCTTTAGACCGGCTGAGCTCCACAATGAGCTGGAGAGCAGTGCTGGCGGCCATGTGGCACAGGGCGGCTTTGGTAAGTGCAGTGAACCTCTTGTACCCCTTATAGGGCCAGACAGTTCATAGTAGTGACTGAGACCTTAAAATAAATAATTTAATCTTAAGGGTATATTACAGAGTAAGAGTGCAGTCATTTATCAACACATGACATGATATACATGATATCAACACACATAAAAAGTGCAGCCCATCCAAAATACAGGCAAACATACATCGATCAGGCATAACATTATGACCACCTCCTTGTTTCTACGCTCATTGTCCATTTTATCAGCTCCACTTACTATATAGGTGCACTTTGTAGTTCTACAGTTACAGACTGGAGTCCATCTGTTTCTCTGCATACTTTGTTAGCCCCCTTTTACCCTGTTCTTCAGTGGTCAGGACCGCCATGGACCCTCACATAGCAGGTACTATTTGGGTGGTGGATCATTCTCAGCACTGCAGTAACACTGACATGGTGGTGCTGTGTTAGTGTGTGTTGTGCTGGTACAAGTGGATCAGACACAGCAGTGCTGCTGGATTTTGTAAACACTGTGTCCACTCACTGTCCACTCTATTAGACACTCCTACCTGGTCAGTCCACCTTGTAGATGTAAAGTCAGAGACAGTAGCTCATCTGCTGCTGCACAGTTTGTGTTGGTCATCCTCTAGTCCTTCATCAGTGGTCACAGGACGCTGCCCACAGGACGCTGTTGGCTGGATATTTTTGGTTGGTGGACTATTCTCAGTCCAGCAGCGACACTGAGGTGTTTAAAAACTCCAGCAGCACTGCTGTGTCTGATCCACTCAGACCAGCACAACACACATTAACACACCACCACCACGTCAGTGTTACTGCAGTGCTGAGAATGATCCACCACCCAAATAGTACCTGCTCTGTGAGGGTCCATGGGGGTCCTGACCACTGAAGAACAGGGTAAAAGGGGGCTAACAAAGTATGCAGAGAAACAGATGGACTACAGTCTGTAACTGTAGAACTACAAAGTGCACCTATATAGTAAGTGGAGCTGATAAAATGGACAATGAGCGTCGAAACAAGGAGGTGGTCATAATGTTGTGCCTGATCTGTGTATATCCAGTGATTATGACAAAGGTGTTATATTGGTATCATGATATTGAATGTAGAAATAGCAGCTGTATATGAAGGTTAATGCAAAATTGTATTTTGAATGTTGTGTCTGAAATATGCGGTTTAATCACAAACATAAATTAGGAAAGAAATCAGTCTATACTCTAGAAGCCACAACTTACTGTGCTCTGCTTTAAACTTTAGCTCAGCTTTAGCCGCTTTTCTTGCATCTCCGGCAGGAAACTATTCCAAAAGTAGAAGAGTTTCTTGTAAAATGTCTCTCAATGTTCAGTTTTGTGAGGCTGAAATTAACTCCTCATTTGGCAGCTTCTTGTTTGAATTTTCCCGTTCCATCTTAAGTGGTGCAGCAGGCACCATTTAAGGTGGAACGGGAAAATTCGAATGAGAAACTGACTTCAGCTTTGTGACTTTTTAGTGTTTGACAGTTTCTCGTTCCAGATTAAACGTATCAGAAAACCAGCTGGAGTGATTATAAATGCAATTAAGTCCATTTGTCTCCAAATTATCAATGTTCATCATCACTAGGCGAGATTGTTGTCTGCGTTGCTTTGGTGACCAGCAGTCTGTGCGCCAACCTTCAGAGTTAAAGAGTGAACTAGCAGTTATGCATTAACTCCAATGTTTAAGACCATTTATTGTTAAAACTGCTGATTTTACGGCAAAGGAGGATTATTTTATTTTTGCCCTTTCAATCTAATTCTGCTGTGGAGCCGCAACAGGGCAGCAAAAGAGCCGCATGTTGCCGACCCCGATTATGGAATTTCCACTCTGAAGCTGGATCAGTTTCAGTAGCAGTGCTTCAAATGCACTTTCCTCTTCTCCAGGTTCAGACTCCAACCTCATTGAAGGTGATTCCTCCAGTCTGAAGAATGACACACTAGCCGTTGGCCAGCCCGTGGTGAAGAGTCTACTCTATGAGCTGCTGTCCCAGGCTGTGGGCCCTCAGCCACCTTGCCCGGACTCCTCAGCTCGCTCCGACTGTGCCATCCTGAAGCTGAACTCCAGCTCCTCTCTGGATAACAGCCTTGCTCTGGAGATTTTTCATGGCAGCCACGACCTGCACACTTCCGAAGGAGAGCTGGTGCTGGGGTCGCATTCTGACTCTCAGTCCAACGACACCGCACACCACCACACTAACCTCCTTCAGCTCCACCAGGTGGAGCCAGTGCAGGTCCCTCACACTGAGAGGTAAGAGGTAGACATGTAGGACTTGCACAGGTGGAAAGTAACTATTATTTCTTACTGTAATTAAAGCATAATGGTTACTTTTAGTTGAGATTAATTCTAATCAAATATTCAGCTTTATTGTTTCAAGAGTTTTTGTACTTTTTTTTTTTCAGATTACAAAAAAATAACTATAAAAAAAACAAGGGAGCAGTTAGCTCATCTGGCTGGCCAACTGATCTTAACTAAATAAGTACTGTGTTTCACTATTACTAGCCACTGTGCTTTTTTCAGTTTTGTATAAATTTAGAATAGACAACTATGACAGATGTTAATTAAACCCAAACCTGTTGTCTATATGCTCTATGCCTGTTTGCAAGCTAGTAATGTAAACTAACAGTTCTGGTAAGCTAATGGTATAGCCCAGTGATCAGTAACCCAAATGTTAAGACGAGCCATTTTATCCTTTCATCGAAAATCAAACCGCCTTGGGAGCCACATTTTCTGTACATTTTACCATCTTGGCTGTAAATATGTCTCAGTATGTGCTGATGTACTAATGTAGACTAAACAATATAATATTAACAAAAGCACAGACTTACTTTGCTCAGAGGGGAGGGGACGTGGCCATTGCCGACATAGCCATGATATAGGAATCAAAATTTTTAGGTTCTAGATAAAACAGTTTAATATCTGTCAAACTACAATGCAAAAAGTCACGATTTTTGTTCTGAAGGTTTTTTTTTTTACAAGGCTGGAAAATTAAGCAAGATTATTTGACAGTGTGACCGGCCCCCTTTAAGTGTGGACTTTTCACCCCTGACCACTTGTGAACAAATCATTATTTTGAGTTGGCGTTTAGTGGTTGAACTGGTTGTCCAGTTTGTTCTTTGCAATATCTATGCAATACTTACAACTGTGTTACACACTTTTTAAAAAATGAGGTACGAAACTGTCACTGGGGCAGTCAGGGAACGTAATTAGTCAGGGAACATAACTGGACCATAATCCACTGAAATGATATGTTCTAAGCTGTACTGACTCCACACACCCCGTCTCGTCTCCAGGACTTTTATTTTACTGTTCTGTTTTAAAACATTCGGTTATGAAAAGGTACAAATATGAACTTTTCACCTGGAAAAACTTATTTAAGGTTCACAATTAGACTTTAAAACAACTGTTGTACCTTTGAGGGAACATTTACATTGTTTGTGCCTTGAACGAAAAATGTACCTGAACAGAACCTTTATTAATAACAGTGTAGGGCCCAAATAAGGGTCCAGGCCTGTTTTCTATGCCTATAACCCCCATCATTTTCTTTAACTCCTGCTCTAATCCTAACCCTAACCTTAACCTCAACCCAAAACCTAAACCCAACCATCACCCTGGTCCAAATCCTAACCGTAACCCCACAACTGTTTAGAATCAGCTGAGTTTCAACAGGTAGTTTAACAATTTGAACTTCTGTAGATAATCTATAGGGGACTATAGTGGACTGTCCTAATAAAGTGATACCAATTACACTCTTTCAAATTATGCCTCTGATATAAGAACGATTCATCTTCAGCCTTAATGTGTTACAGACTGAAGGATTCTAAATAAATAAATAAATAAAAATTCTCACAGTGTAACGTCATAAAATCATAAAATTCTGTGTTGTAGCAAGTCAGTACCGTATTGAATTTAATTTCATTATATCTCTGTTGTCAGAAGAAAACCTTGTATCTCCAAAATGGTAACTTTACAGCAGAAGGAAAAAACCTACTTTACTTTTAATGTAAGTCAATGGAACCAGACTTTTTTGCAAGTCATTTTGGTCAGTTTCTTTTGGTCCAATCATCATACAATGTAAAGGTCAACAGGCATTTTCATAATATGTCAAAAACTAAAAAACGACAAAAATGGAGATACGAGGTTTTGTTCCGACAGCAGCGTTATGCTTGTCAAGCATTGGATATTTGACACATTCAGTATTAGGTGGGAATGTTTACTTCTGGTGTTCTAATTTACACTTGACTTGTACGAGCAAATCTGAGAAGCTGTCTTTTGTTATATGCTTTAAATCTTGGTGTGTTTCTGGCGATACCTTATTCACTTTTTTCACTCTTTCATTCCCCTTTTCACCCTCTCTCTCTCCTCTGCAGTAATGAGTTTGAGGTGGTGTCTCTCGACCATGATGTCAGTCTGGCTGATATGTACAGATGGAAGGTATCTGCGTACGCACCCTGCAGTTCAACATGTACCACAGGTGCAATTATGAACCAACACCACACATACAGACACACTCACACATACATACATAGATGCACGCATGCATCAAACCGCTTGGTTAAAGGGCCCAATATCATTCCAAATCAAGTTTGATGTACATGCATTCAAAGTATGGAAATTAAGCTGCCTGTTTTGAGTTAATCTTGGTTGTGATGTCACATCCTTTTTGAATTCTAACAGTGTTTTCACATATAGTTCGTTTTAAAAGAACCAAAGTGAGTTCTGTTAAAGTGAACCTGGAAGGGAACCAACTGCGATTGACCTCAGTTCTAGTTGTGGTCACAGTGTAAGTGAACTATAAAGAGGACTCGGTTTTCTTTCTGGTCCTTTGAGATCTCAGACCACGACTCCATTAGAACTCGGACCCCTTTCACAGCACTCACGGTGGGCGCGGTGCTCACAAAGCGTTCTCCCTTTCGGGTGGTGAGAGGAACCACCAGACCCGCCTGCTGCTCTCCTATTGGCCGTGCTGAAAAGACTGGCTGAAGTGCATCACGCAAAATTGGAAAAATGACCCAGTGGGTCTGCCGCGGTGGGTTCCGTTTTTGGCTGTGCTCCTCACTGAGCTCCACCCGGTGAAACTCCGCGTCAGTGGTGAATCTTCATTCATTCAGCTTCAGTGAAAGCAGTTTAAAATTGTGTTGCGTGCCCAGTTTGAGCCTTTAAGACGGTAAAATCACGCGGGCTCTCGCATCTGATCGCTTTAATATGTCAGGGCTGCTGTCTTGTCGCAGATCACAGACAGACTTTGTCCTGAGTAGAACCTTATAAATGACCCTTGGTCTGTTTTGCCTGCTGAAGTGCTGAAGACTGTGGCTGTGTGTACGATGGACCTCGAGGTCTTCACCATAAAGCAAAGCTAAAGCGGACTGGGGCTGTTTTGTTTTCACAATGTACAAATCAATCGAACCACAAAACGACTCTACAAACAAACTGAACCGAGACCACCTCAAGAGTTGGTCTCAGTTCGGTTTGTTTTTGGGGCTGTTTAGAGGGTCTGAGTTCATTTGGCATGTTCACAAATGCAAAAGAAACCACTTCAGACGCTGAAACGGCCCAAAGTGTGAAAACGCCCAAAAGGATAAAGGGATTTTATAAGCGGGTGACAGAGGAAAAAATAAAAAAATGTAAAATGTGTAGAAATGTAAAATATGAGCTTTTGTGTTTTTGCAACTGAGTTCAAGTAGAGGTTCTTTGTATCCAGTGATGCTGTTAGATTTGCTGTATCTTCAAAAATGCAAAAATTACTTTTACTAAGGAATGCACAAAATTTGAGGATCTGTTCCTTCTCTATCTCTCTTTCCCTCGATCTCTCTCTCTCCCGCTTTCTCTTTTTTCAGGTATCAGCACCTCGTATGCTTTGTGTGTGAAGTATGATGGCTCAGAGGTGGATGAAAGTTACTGTGATGCTTTGACTCGACCTGAGCCCACGCACGAGTTCTGCACAGGCAAAGAGTGCCCACCAAGGTCAGAGGGAGCGGTCATAATCTACAATCATCATATGAGGGATATGTGTTCCCTGCCAGTCTAAAGTTTGGCCTTATACTATTATTTTTTTAAAGTAAACAACAGTACTTTGTTGTACTGTTGTAAAACAGATATTTAGTGATCTTTTGGTAAATTTATTTTCAACATTCAATTTCATGTTCATCAAAGGCTTTGTTCACACAGCAGGTAAAAGTGGCCCAAATCTGATCTTTTTCTTCATGTGTGACACAGATGTGTGTCTGTGTTTCAGTGTGAACAGCAAAATCTGACATCACACCGAATCTGACATTTTCAGTTCTGATTAGAGACGCTTTCATATGTGGTACTGAAATCCGATACGTATCCGATACGTAGCAATGCGACTCAGTCTGAACAGCCAGATGGGAATTCATGCGACTTTTGCGTCAATCCAACTCGACATTCGTCATAACTTTGAGCTGCTGAGACTCATAAACATTTGGGCTGATGTTTCTACAAAAAATTTTACAAAAAATTAGAAGAGACCCTTCATGTTTGAAGAGATTTCGAAAGAAATGGCTGAACGCGGCCGTAGTAGAACAGTTAAAAGTCTGAAAGCAAAGTTTAAAGAACACGAACCAAGGAGCCCTTTTTACGGCTCGGACACATTCTGGGTGATGAGCCCAGCTGTGGGTCAGTGAAGCTTCATGATGGCTCCAGTGATGCTGGTGAAGATGAAGCTGAACCCTCTGGGAGCGACTGGCGTTCGTTGGCAGTCGTGATTGTTTACCTCTGGATGAGCTGCGTGAAGCAACGTGAAGCATTGTTATTTTGCAGGTTAGTTTAGGAGCTGATCTGGTCAGACTAATGTCGCATAGATGTCACATTTAAAAGATATTTGTGTGACCCAAATGTGTGCCACTTGTACCTGCTGTGTGAATGTAGCCAAATTGTCTTCATGGCTGTGAAGAGCATGTTTGCTTAAATATTGATTTGACAATTTTATTTCTTTTCCGAACCATCGTTAAAAGCACAGATTGAATCTCTTTTAGCTCAAAGGTGGTTTAAACACCTGAAAGGGTTTGGTTTTGATGTGTGGTGACATGCATTATTCCAAAGGTAGTGCTGTTAGGAATGCTGTCACAAACATTTACACATTATATTGTTTTCCACTAAATAAACCACATTTACAATCTGAAAAGCTAGGTTTCCTCAGTCCTTTGATGGGCCATGCATGTAGATTGTTTGCCTGGGTCCATGTTTTGCATATGTATGTACGCTGTTGTTGTACATAATAGTGTTTGTTGTACGTGTGTTTGAGGCAGGTGGGAGACGAGCCGCTGGAGTGAGTGTTCCCGGACGTGTGGTGAAGGCTTTCAGTTTCGGACGGTGCGCTGCTGGAAGATGATGGCTCCCGGCTTCGATAGCTCAGTGTATGATGACCTGTGCCATGGTGCAGAGCTGCAGAAGCCCATGGCACGCAAAGCCTGCAAGAGCAAATCATGTGGACCTCAGTGGGAGGTGTCGGACTGGTCTGAGGTCAGCCTCTTTCCTCTTTAACCCTTACCATATGGAACTATTTAAATATAATTATGTAATTACTCAACTAGTTACCTTTCTGTAGTTATTCTGTGCCGTTTGGTTGCCAGCAATCTCCTGCATCTGCCTCATCCATTTTTCCAGATAACTGAATAAAATTGAAATACAACAGAGTGTTTTTTGACGGTTTCACAGTAGATTTATAATTCTTCTTAAAAATGTAATTCTATATCTAATGTCTTGAGGACGCTATACAGTCCTAATACTACTGTATTAATTCTAATGTTTTAATTAGTATTATCAAAAATAGATCGGCTGCAGTCCTGTAACTGTCCGTAAGTGTGTGTTGTCTTTCTGCAGTACTGTAGTTAATATTTTAAGAAGGAACACGAAAAAATCAAACAATTACTAAAAATAAATTAATAAAAGACAATAGTGGCATAATGACCTGACATCAAATCAGCTGTTTATTTCTATGCAGTTTATGCAGCTGCTATGCATTTGTTGTTGTTTACAGGATCTCCATAATTGGTCTGTTTTAATGACAGATGCAGTTCAGTGTTCTAGAACAGCTGACCACACCCATCATATACATACAAAAAAGATGGGGCAGTAGGTAAAATCCGAATTGAAGTGGAGATTTGCAAATTCACTTTGACCTGTAACAAAACTTTGTTTTGTTTGTAAATTTACACTCATTCTGAAACGAATGAATGCAGCACTTTTCAAAAAAGTTGGGACAGGGGCAGTTTAAGACCAGGACTGTTTATAATGTCCAGAAAACTTTTAAAAGAGCTGATGTAAACATGCTCAGGCATTAAAGGAGTATCCAGAAAAGGCCGAATCCTTTTTCACCAAGGATGGGGTGAGGCTTGCTGCTTTTGCCGAACAATGCAAATATTCCAAAATTAAAATGAAAATATTCCAGCTGTTTTACAGACAACAATCCTCAAGGATTTTAGGTATTTCACCCTCTATGGTGTGAAATAGACAAAGAATGGATAATTTTCTGTGCAGGAAAGGCAAGCCCAAAAACAGCAACCGAAAGGACGTGATGTTTTATCCCTCAGACGGCACTAGATTAAAAAATGACGAGCCATTGTCAATAAACACTGTGTGCTGCTGCATCCACCAATGCAGGTCTAGACTGTGCTATGCACAGTTGAAGCCAGACATCAACAATGTCCAGAAACACTGCCAACTTCTTTGGGCTAAAGCTTGTGTGAAATGGACTGATGCACAGTGGAAACTGTGGTCTGACGAATCCACCTTCAGATCGTTTATAGAAGTCAAGTCAAGTCAAAGTTTCTTTATATAGCGCTTTTTACAACAGGTCTGGTCACAAAGCAGCTTTACAGAAAAATCGCCAATGGCAACAGTAGCAAGGAAAAACTCCCTAAGAGCAAAAGGAAGAAACCTTGAGAGGAACCAAGACTCAAAAGAGGAACCCATCCTCCTCTGGTCCACACCAGACAGCAAACAGTTTTAGTATAAAATATTAGAATACAAAATGGGGAAAACAGGCAGAGCAATGGTTAATTAGATTAGTTTTAGTTTATGCAGCATCATCAGGAGGGTCAATTCATGAGGGTGAGGTTTGCACATCATTGTACAGCATGAAGCTCAATGGTGGTCAAACCGGTCCAGAAGCACAGGATTGGCACCTGTTCAACTCGGCAAAGAAGGGAAAACACACAGAGAGTCAGTTCTCAGTTGTAATGAGTGACTGATCACAGATTACAGTGTGTATATATATATATATATATATATATATATATATATATATATATATGAGTGTTAATGGTGCTTTTACAGATGTTGCAAGTTAAAAACTAATTACGAACTATTTTTGGTACATTAACCTATACAAACGTCAACAGTGAATGTAATATATAATATAATAAACAAAAGAAAAGAGAAGTGTAGGACGTGGGCCTTTAATCTGTAGTTGATGGTAAGTGTATTGTGGTGCTGCAGTGTTCAGCGCGCTGTGGAGGTCGTGGAGTGAGGAGCAGGGAGGTGCGCTGTTCCATGGACACTCGGCTGTGTAATGAATCCACCCGTCCACTCAGCCAGAGGGAGTGTGAAGGGCCGCCCTGTGATCGTAGGTGGACCGTCTCTGACTGGGGGCCTGTGAGTTTCTTTGCTTTATTTCTGCTTTGTCTGCTGATCGATACACCACCTGTTTTTACCAGTTAACCCCCATCCTAGACAAAGAAGCGTCTCTCCGTATGGTGATCGGCTGGTGCAGTGCACGGTGCACTGAGAGCAACAGAAAGCACAACAATGCTGCTTCATCTAATTATTTTAGTTAACGAATTACATATTGTGATATATGTTGTTTTATAATCATGAGATTACAAAGAAGCATTTGAGACACCTTGCCTTTAAAGGAATAGTTCAGCAAAATGTGAAATTTAGACAGTTTTTCTTTTAGCAGGTGTATACCAGGTGTGTTAATTGGACAGGACATGATTGATGTCTAAAGTGGCTGCTTTAGCAGCCTCAGCTTCCTATTAGAGCTGCTTGATTATGGTTATAATCATAATCATGATTATTTTGGTCGATATTGAGATCATGGTTACTTAACACAATTACTCATTGACTTTGGAAACATCATGCCTTTATTGAACTTAAAAAAACTTGTCTTTTTAACAGTGGATTTCCTTGAATGTTAAATATAATTCAACTAAAAAACAAAGTAAAAAAAGGTAAAAAAGATAAATAAAATTAATCATAGATACAAATAAAAAAATAGAAATAAAATGAATGAAAGATAAAACTAAATAAGATTAAAATAAATAAGATCAACCATGTTGTAGTGCGCTTCCACAACCTACTGAAGTAAAAACCTACTAAACATAAATAAAAAATGATGAATAAAAATAAATTACCCCAAAATAAATTAGATTAGTTTGTGCATTGAGGAAGGGGTGAAAGTGCACCTCTGTAAAGGGTAGAGATGCGCTGGGGAGATGCGCTGTGTAATATTCGCCACATTATTCCTTTAACTCATATAGAAGAAAAATATATGGACACGTGTTTTTTTATATTTGAAATACTTTGCAATCCATGCTGCTGTATGTTCCAAACACTAAAATGTATTTCAGAATGTATTGCTATATTAACCAAATATTTAGATTTATTTTAAAATGTATGGGGAAATATTGCTCATAGAAATGTCCCATACAAAAATAAATATACGTAAATGTGTTTATTAAATATGTTTGAAAATGTATGAATATAGCTATCTAATGCATTTCCACTGTTTGGAATCACATTTAAAATGAATTTGTATTCCAGTATCCTATTTTTAAATATTATCAAATGGACCTTTAACATGACCAAAGCGAGTGTTGTAGGTATTGATACTCCGTGAAAATGCAGTTATGATTTGATATCTTGTTTATTTGAAGTGCATTGTGTGTGAGTGTCTTACTGCATACGTACATGGTTAATGCAAAGTACAGTGCAGAAGTCAGTACCATTCATTCAGTTCTTGTATATTTTTGGCCATTTTTATACTAAACTGTTACTGTTTCCTGGCCCCTGGCTCTGGTCGGCTGCCTCTGCCCTTGTTCTTGCTGGCGGCTGTCTAAGTGCTCAGGGCCGTGCGGAGAAGGCCGGATGATGCGGTACGTCGTCTGTAAGAGTGGGAATGGTAAGGTGATATCAGACGGCCAGTGTGACCCGGACCTGAAGCCCCTGGCAGTGCATCCCTGTGGAGACAGAGACTGCCCTGCCCACTGGGTGGAGCAGGAGTGGGAGAAGGTAAATGGGCTCAGCACTAATTTACAGCATTTAAATGTTTATTAGTGGCAGCGGATAAAAAATGAAGCAACCGTTGGATTCAGTTCTATTTAGGGTGTAGCTGTTTTGCTGAGCCTCACAACTTGATACATATCGTCACTGTCGGAACAAAATTGACTACATTTTACAAAATAGCAAAATACTAATTTTTTTTGTATCTCTAAAAAGTAATTTTACAAGAGAAGGAAAAGTATTCTTAACCTTGAAGGCAAGTTAATGCAACAAGATTTGATTTTACATCATTTTGGAATATTCCTGTTTGTCTGTTTGTCATAAAGTTTTGACACAGTGTGAAGAGGCAGCTGGTTCTTTCAAATTATGTTACAAAATGAAAACCACAATGGAGATAGAAGGTTTTGTTCCGACAATGATACAATATGAAACATAGTTTGTCAAAGCGATTTTCGTGCAAATTTTATTCTTGTATATTAGTTTTATACTTTAGTTTTTTAATGCTTGTGTGGTGTTGATGTGTTTGTTACTCAGTGGTCTGCTGGACCCACCGCATTATTGTTTTTATAATCAATACAGCCAAAACAATTTATGTAAAAATACCAGATGTTTAAAATATCACAAGTGGTCAGCGTAGGGTTCTCCTTTAGCAGCTGTAGCCAGTCAGCAGCCTGTCCATGTTGTTAGTCCTCACATACACACACAGACACACACACACACACACACACACACACATAGATACAAATACATACACACGCAGACACACACACTAACAGCAGGCCATGTAGGAGGAGAACAGAGTGAAGGACACAGCACCTCCACACTGTTATTCCCCGCGGGTTCACCCAACACCAACAGAGTGAAGACACTGAAAATGGGTTATTTTATATGTTCTTCACAGAAAATGAGAAAAGGACAAGAAATCTGAGGTTGAAATAATAATAAATCACATCATTTTTCATTCACATTGAAAATGGGCCCCACAGACCTGAACGCCACACAGGGGTTAATTATGAACTGTACTGTTCTTTGTCTTGTTTATTTAGGATCTAACTTAAAGTTTTTAGTACATACAGAAGCTGTTTGTGCAAGTGAATAATCAGGTTCATGTAATCAGCTCCACTTAATGTGACATAGCAAAGAATTGTTATTTACAGAATTATTTACATAATTGTTTCTCATTGAAGACTGATTTGAATCAGACCTGATGCTCACAGCACAAATAAAAGATTAGTTAGTGCTCATTTGTGTGTTACGGCCTTCTGTACTACTGACATCACAGTATAATTCATTGTCCCTTAGGCTGTGTAAAGGTGTCCATGAGGGGATTTTCTACAGAATCTCTTTGTGAATGTGTGCAGTGTAACGCCACGTGTGGGCGTGGAGTGAAGACTCGGCAGGTGGTGTGTGCGGGGCTCGAGGCCGGCGTGTTTAAGGAGTATCCGGAGCACATGTGTGCCAGCGCAGTGATGCCTGAGCAGAGTGCTGCATGCTTCGAGAGACCCTGTTCTAAATGGTTCACCACAGCCTGGTCTCAGGTAACCCTCTGCACACTGTCAGCTGTTAAAAGAGTCATTCAGACGTTTAGAAGTTGCTAACGCCTGATTCACACATGCTACCTTTGTGTGGTGTGAGCGATGTGGCAGTGTGACCGCTTGAACGCGCTGGCCTTTCAAACATACAGTGTTTGTGCTGCAGAGCAGAGCAGCGAGAAAGTCATACAGATATTCCTGTTTCCAGACGGATAGATGGACACATCGGTCACTCTGCTCAATAAAAATATAATTTATAAATGTGCACGATATATTTGTTTATCCTCAGCAGCATTCTGACTTGTGATTAGGCAAAAGTTTCAAGCCTAACCAAGACAAACTGGGAAATCTGTTTGTGATACAGAATGCTTAACTAGTATTTTGTCATGAATTAAATTTAAAAAAAGTTTTCTTTTTAATTTTCATCGATTTTCATGGCTTATTTCAGTGTATTCTGCTGTGCGACATGCGGAAAAAATCGGCACCTGGTCTATTTTCGAAATACCGCACCGTGTCTGGGATGCTCTGCTGCTTCACACATGCATCCTGTGTGAAAGCACTAACATGGGTGCCGAAATGAAATGCAAGACTCTCCACGTCGCTCACGCCACGCAGAAGCAGTATGTGTGAATCAGGCCTAACAGTGAATGAAAGTGAATATCCATTAGAATTATGGACATGACATCATGCTAATTGGTGGCACATAGTTAGCCACATTAGCCCAGTCCCGTTTCACTCCTCGCTCCTACCACTTAGCCCTACCCCTCTGTTTTGCGTGCTTACACCTAGGGGGTAGGGTGTCCCGGTTCTTGTTGAGATAGAGGGGTAGGGCGAAGTGTTAGGGCTACATGGATCTCCAAACAGAGGTTTTTCAGAGGCTCACTCCAATGTTATGAGAAAACACACAAATCTATAAAGTCAACATTATGTGTGTATCACAAATGGTCCATCAAACATTAACAGAATCCAAAGTCCCAGAGCTATTGTTACACACCCTAGCTAGCATGTTGTGTAGTTAGGCTAAGTGCATCAAAACTTGTTTACATACCACAAACTAGTCCACCAGTATTCCCAGTCTTTAAAGATGTCTTTGTTTTCTAACATTTCTCGGACAGTCTCAAAAGGATGCCTATTGGCATTTTGGAAAAGTCCGGCAAAAACTTGTCATCAACGACTACTGATGACATGTTGGATACTTAAAGGGTTGCCCCATATTGTAGGAGTAGATTTCAACAACTACCCCTTGTAAAATGGAGAAAATGACACGCGAAAAGAAGGACTAGGGGTAAAAATAAGAAATAGGTTTGAACCTTGATGCTTTTGTCTACATTCAAAGATTTCATACTTTGAAAGTTTCATTTTCTTTCTTTTTGAACTGCTTTAAAACTATTTTTTTATTATTTTTATGTTAATATTTTCCTTTTTTATGTTATTTTTCTTCTTTTCATGAAGTTGTGAAATGACGTTCAGGTTGTGGACCATGCCTGAAGACCTTTCAATCTAACATCCTATAAATTTCCTATTTCTATATTCCGTTTCTCATGACAAAGTCCCACACCGCACCACCACCCATCCCCTCCCGGTTCCTCAGTCCTGTCTCTCCTACCTCTGTTCATCAAGGGGTGTCCTGCCTGCTTGCTTAAGAACTGGAGCCCAAGTTCTGAGAATTCTTTCCCCTCCTACAGTCTCTTCTCATACTCCTAACACATGTTGAAGACATGGTGCGATACACTCAGTGGCCACCTCTCTCACATGCAGGAGACAATGTAATATTCTACACCCAATAATTACACCTGTCTAAGAGGAAGCTGATCTCTTAAAATATCCTCAGAGGCCACTTTATTAAGTTTATCTATAGCTGTACCTAATGGGCTTCTATACCATTTATAGCAATAACCTGATCTGTTTATTTGTTTATTTACTGTATTTGTTTATTAGTATAAATCCTTGAGAGACTTGTTAAAACAGAGTTCCTGTCAAATAGATAAACCTCTTGACCTTCCCTTGATGTTCTCATTTATATTACTCATACATTAAACCCTTAAGCACTGGCCATTTGGACAGAGCCCCAATTATTTGGTGTATAGCATTACATTTTCTTCCAGTAACCTTAGAATGTGTGTGAGTGTGTGTGTATGTGTGTGTGTCAGTACACTTTGTGTGTGTATTAAGCGAGTGCTCTGTGTCTGTGTGTCTTACAGTGCAGTAAGACGTGTGGGAGTGGTGTGCGGGTGAGGGAGGTGAAGTGTTACCAGGGGGAGGAGATCGGCCATAGCTGTGACTCAGCGCTGAAGCCACAGGCCAGACAGAGCTGTGAAGTGCAGGCCTGTCCCACAGAGGCACCAGGTAAAACACACACACACACACAAACACACACACACACACATACCACTTAACTGAGCTGCCAGTTTTTTAGATACACCTACCTTGTATCTACACTCACTGGCCATTTTATCAGAAACACCACCCCTAGAAGTGCTCTTTAAGGCTTTACAGTTACTGACTGATCTCCATCCAGTAAAAAAAAACAACCACCATAGGACCACCAGTCCTATTATTATTTGGGTGGGGGATTTTTTTCCAACACTGGAATGGTAGTGTGCGTGTAGTGTGTGTGCTAGTATGAGTTTATCAGGCCCGGTGTTGTTAGTGCTTTTAAACTTTGTACACTCACTGGCCACTTTACTAGAAACCCCTCTACCACCTTGTACATTTAGACCCCGTTTACCCCTGGTCACTATCAGGATTATATCCATATGCAAATGCAACCAAGACGGACTCCCGGTGCTGTGGCCATTCTGCTACCCTGCATATGGGGAAAAACGGCCACTGGACCGCCACCACTAATCAGAGGTGTCATTGTTCCTTCATTTCAGCTGAGTTTAATTCAGTAGCCTTCAGTTTCCCGAGCTGGTTAAAATAAAGTGCTAGTTTGGAAAACCTTTACTGTACCTTGTCATTATTCACTGTCTCACTATAATATGTTTTAAGCATGTGGTTCATGACTGGCATTTTGCATCCGTCTCTCCAAGCCATGTTCAACATCCTAAACCCTACCCACTATTGTCATAGTGCCCCTTTTCCTTTTTTCTACTTAAGGGGAAGTGATTACCTCCCCAATATGCCACCACATCACTCCTGACGTGTTTTTTTTTTAGTTTAATTTGGTTGTCTGTTTTGTCGGCCTTTGATCAAGCTAGTTAGCTTAAAAAAGTGCTGTTTGGTTAATGTTCAATTCACCTAGTAATTTTTCACTGCCTGGCTTCAGTAAATACTAGTACAGTTATAGTAGGTTAATCCCTTAAATGGCCAGGTCCTACAGGTGGGCCCAAAGTTTTATCACACACTTCTATAACCTAAGAATAGCTCAGCCTTTTTGCATTGAAGTGTCTGTAGTTACTAAATAATAAGACTTAGTATGTAATAAGCCTGGGATTTTAAGGTGTCAAATACTCTTAAATAGCCAATCTTCTAGCCATCAACATTGACTGCCGGTGTAAGGAAACAAACAGCACCTTGCAAAGTTGTGATTTTCTTTTAAATAGAACAGAAAAACGAGGGGCAGCACAGGCAATTGATTGTAGTGTATCAGCTGATTTGCTTATTATGTGTCTGTAACGTCCAGGCAACCTACTAGGCCAGGAGGCTAGGAGGGACCGGAAAGCCAGGACTGAGTAATTAGGGCTGAGCGGGTGCTTACACGCTGCTCGCTGCTCAGTCTTGAGTTCACGTAGCTACATGCATGCATGTTGACTCAGCCGGTAACCTCAGTGTCCGTCTCGAGTTTAGAGTCTTTGCTTTTCTCAAATTGTTCTTTAGCTAAAAAAAAAGTCTCTTGAGTGTGTCTCACTCTCCATGTTCGACACCCCCCCATAACTAGTTACTTTTCCTGTTTACTGTGTTCCCCTTTTATTTCGTTCCTTGTCTAGTTTGTTTTCCTGCTTTTAGCCCCTTTCGTTTCTTTTCTGAGTTGCATCTTTCTCCTGACCCTCAGTTGCTCTACACTTGAGGCTGTCCTCTAGTGTCCACCAGGTAGTTCGCCCCATAGTGCTCGTGACTACTAATATAAGGGTTGTGAGTTCCAGGAACCCCCTGGCACGTTAGAGTGCCACATAACAGTCAGATTTCAGCCAGAGACACACTACCGAGTGTTAATGCATGTGGTTAAAGTCTTATTAGATACAAGTCACATGAACAACCAGCTGTAAATGGTGTCTTAAAATATAACCCATCTGTTGATGCACAGTTGGTGTTAGCCATCCTCTATATTAACCTTCTCCATTGATGAACGGGGTAAGGGGGTTATAAATTGGACAGCAACAGATGGGCTACAGTTTGTAATTTTAAACCTACAGGGTCCATCTATATGGTGGTGGTATCTGATGAAATGACCAGTGAAAATGACACAATCACACAAGATGCAGTTTTTTTACACAGTTTGTGCATGAAGAAAGAAAACAAGTTTTGTTTTTTCCTGTATCTCTTCAGCGGAAGACGTTTGTCAGGACAAGGCGACGGCTAACTGTGCGCTGGTCCTGCGGGTGAAGCTGTGCACACACTGGTACTACAGAAAGGCCTGCTGTCTGTCCTGCAAGACGAAAGGCCAGTGAAGATCTGCTGGACCCTAGCCGTGGCATTCCACAGAATGTGAACCCCCACCCCACATACTGGGCGCACTGTAAACCCCCAAACTGCACCCCAACCTGTACTCCAAACTGCGTAAAGAAGGTGCTATAATAAAGGGTCCTGCTCCACAGGCTCCTACAGGCAGCTCCCAAGACTGGACTGCAGTCTCTGGTTCACTGGTAGAGAAGGCTCCGCATGCTGGGTGCCACATGCTGCCTTCATGCACTGAAAAAAGTGATGTGTTGACTTTACATCGTTTCCACATGAATAAAATACTTTACATCAACATCATTTTGTCTCTCAGTGTGTTTACTTTTGGTAATAGTCGTGTTGATGTAATTTATTTTATTGATATGGGAATTACACATTAGAATCGAGTAAGTTTAATGCATCAGTTTTTCAGCATTCTCAGTGTCTGGGGCAATCTACTTTTGTTGTACTGTATCTTTGATTCTACTCACACATACACACGTTTGGTTATTTGTACAAAGTTTCCTTTTTTTGATTTGAATGTTTTGTGGTCACCTGTGATAGAGAAAGTGAAATAAAGTCGATGTTGGTCTAGCTTTGGTGCTAACCTATACACATGCACGAGCTGTGTTTGTGGATAATTTCACATACGGGAACTGTGAGAGTCAGTCCTAACATTCAGTTCTCTCTCATCGCATGATTAGGCTTTATGTCAAGGCAGAAGCTTTGGACTGAAATCTGAAAGAACTGGAAAATATTGGTCATTTTAATAAAGTGGCATTTTCTAATGCTGACAGTAAGGCTGTGTTCAGATTGCAGGCAAATCGGATTTGTTTTTCAAATCAGATTTTTTGTAGATGACTGACCGCTCTGTTATTTTCAAGTGAGCAGATCTGATTTGTTTGTCCAGACATCACCAGCCCATCTGCACAGGTTATCATGGTAATGACGCAGGCGTCAGTAACTACGCAGTTATGCTGGTGATGCGGATTTCAACACAGATGCAGGAGAGATGGAGATGCATCATCTCAGCCTTCTTACTCTTCAGAAATTCTCTGGCATAAGCGTGAATCTTTGGTGCTCTTCTTGAATCCCAGCACTTCCATCCCTCTGGATTTGACATTAACGTTGTTTGTCACGTTGCATGTGATGCGAATGATACTTTGATATCTGATTTGAGTGGCCCGAGCATCCAGACTGAGACGCATCTGAAAAATCCGATTGGAATCGCATTTCAAACCACCTCCAAATGTGATTTGGCTTTAATGTGGTTTTTAGCTGTCCAGACTATCAAAACATCAAAAATCAATCTGGATACAATCTAATTATGCCAAAAATCAGATTAGGGATGTCAGTCTGAACATTGCCTAAGATGCACTAATCACAGTAAATTGTATGTTTGCACTGTAGTAAATGTTCTTAATTAGGTTTATGACCTTGAAATAAAAAATCTGAAGGTGGGATAAAAGCTTAATATTGTAAGAGGTTATCAAGGTAAACAAATATGTGTTAATATATTAAGCTTGGGTGCTTTATTCAAAACTTCAAAACTGAATACATTTCTGCTGATTTAGTGTGCTGAAGGTCAGGCTGATGCAATTAACAAGAATGCCTTATTATTATACAGCATCTGTGCTAAATAAGAAAAAAACACAAAATACATTTAAAGCCTTTTAAAAAGAAAAATATGCAAGAAGTATTTTATACATTATTCTTATTAGAAGAAACCATGAATATTAAAAAGAATACAAGATGTTCACATCTGTGGACTGTTCACGTCATTGCTATCCAAAGAAAAGACGTGTCTTCAAAATGGTAATTTTTAATATTTTTAATATGTCAGTAGAATGAGAAGTTTTTGACACAATTTAAATATATATATTATTACCTACTACATATATATATATATATATATATATATATGTGTAGTAGGTAGTATGGCGAAACATTTTACATCACAGTGCACAATTGAAATGTAAACTTATATACACTTTATATCACAGTGCACAAGTGAAAAAAATACAACCCCATTTCCAAAAAAGGTGGGACGCTGTGCAGAATGTAAATAAAAATAGAGTGCAATGATATGCAAATCATGTAAACCATATTTTAAAGGGAAATACTTCAGAGACAACATATCAAATGTTGAAACAGAAATTTTATAGTTTTTTGAAAAATATATGCCCATTTTGAATTTGATGCTAACAACGCGTTTCAAAAAAGTTGGGACGGGGGCCTGTTTACCACTGAGTTTCATCACCTCTTCTTCTAACAACACTCTGTAAGTGTTTGGGAACTGAGGAGACACTGCTGTAGTTTTGAAAGTGAAATGTTTTCCTGTTCTTGTTTGATATATGATTTCAGCTGCTCAACAGTTCAGGGTCTCCTTTGTCGTATTTTTCATTTTATAATGTGCCAAATGTTATCAGTGGTGACAGGTCTGGACTGCAGGCAGGCCAGTTTAGCACCTGGACTCTTTTAATACGGAGCAATGCTGTTGTAATACATGCAGAATGTGGTTTTACATTGTCTTGCAGAAATAATCAAGGCCTTCCCTGAAAAAGACGTCGTCTGGATGGCAGCATATGTTGTCAAAATATGTTTATATCGTTCAGCATTAATGGTGCCTTCACAGATGTACATGTCACCCATACCATGTGCACTAATGCACCCCATACCATCATGAATACTGGCTTTTGAATTGTGTACTGATAACAAGCTGAGCGATCTTTAGCCCAGAGGACACAGTGTCCATGATATCCAAAAAAATGAAACATTTTGATTTGTTCGGCGACAGGACACTTTTCCACTTTGCCTCAGTCCATTTTAAATGAGCTCGGGCCCAGAGAAGGTGACAGCGTTTCTGGATCCTGTTTATATGTGGTTTCTTCTTTGTGTTTTAAAGTTTTAACTTGCATTTGTGAATGCAGTGATGAACTGTGTTCACAGACAGTGGTTTTCAGAAGTGTTTCTGAGTGCATGCAGTGATTTCCTCTACAGAATCATGTCTCTTTTTAATACAGTGCCGCCTGAGGGCCCAAAGAGCATGGCTGTCAAATACTGGTTTTTGGCCTTTAATGATATTATGTACCGTAGATGATGAAAAGCAGAAGTTCTTTGCTATTTTACGTTGAGAAACATTATTCTTGAATTGTTGCACTATTTGCCTGTGCAGTCTTTCACAGAGTGGTGAACCCCTCCTCATTCTGAAGACCCAGCCTTTCTGAGATGCTCTTTTATACCCCTATCATCTTACTGACCTGTCGCCAAATAAACACCAGGTGTTTTTTTAGCATTACACAACTTTACCAGCCTTTTGTTGCCCCCGTCCTAACTTTTTTGGAACGTGTTGTTGGCATCAAATTCCAAATGGGCAAATTTTTTTCAAAAAACAATAAAATTTCTCCATTTCGACATTGGATATGTTGTCTTTGTATTATTGTCAATGAAATATATGGTTTAAATGATCTGCACATCATTGCATTTGGTTTTTATTTACATCTTGCACAGCGTCCCAACTTTTTTGTAAATGGGGTTGTAAATCTGAAATGTTTTTATTGAGTAAAATATTAAAAATATAATTCAACAATGTTAAGTAATGTAACCCTAGCCCAGAAGCTTGCTTCTTATTCAACTGTTTTTTTTTTCAGTTAATTCTGTTCCACCTTAAATGGAGCAGCAGTAACATTCTTACACCTGTACCTTAGTTTAACTGCTGCACCATTTAAGGTGGAACGGAAAATTTAAATAAGAAGCCAACTTCAGCTTCATCTAATTTCTCAAGTCATTTTCTCATACATGCATCCAACTGTCAGACACTGCTGGGATTTACCGCTGGAAAATATTAGTCATTCACTCTGCAGCACCAGCTGGACCACGACTTGCACACAAGGCCCTGACTGTGGGTGAACCGTTATACTGCCCACTGTGTGGCTAATGTGCCACAGTATTCAGTGCCGGTTTTGTGACAGGAGGTCAGTGCATGCTAGGAAAAGCCAGGAGCACCAGAGGGAAGACGAGGAGAGACAGGCTGTAGGAGAGTGAAGGGCTGCCGTTCGGGAGTCGTGGTAAGAATGGCTTCAAGGGTTGACATCACAGTCGAGTTTGGAGCCATGGTTGAGTTTGGAATCATGCCAGTAAACATAATCCGACTACTTCTTACACCTACCCAGAATTCACCAAAGCTCCGTACAAAGGTTGCTCTGAAAGACAGAAGAACAATAACAAATATGAGTGACTTTAATTGCTAAAGTTTGTAAATCAGAAATTGTAAACAAAAATAAACTATTTCTTTTTTTTGTTTGTTTTTATTTATTTAGTTGCAATATTATCTATCTGTAACTAAAAGTTCTGTGAAATACCTCTTAAAACTGAATTTGAACTGAATTACTTTCGCTTAACACTACAGGGCAGTGGTTGTACAAATGAATGAATTAAGGTGCTCAGTCTTATTCCTGGAGATCCTTCAAGTAGTTTGCCTACCTGAACTCTATATCCCTGACCTCACTGGAAGGAGGCATCCATTTAGCCTGGACAGTTTTCTTTTCTGCAGATGATGTGTGACTGACCGCTGAGGCCTATGGAAGAGGAACTTTCTAATTAACAAATACAGTCCTATTTCCAAAAAGTTGGGATGCTGTGCAAAATGTAAATTAAACAGATTGCAATAATGTGCAAATCATTTAAACCCTACATTTAATAGAAAATAATACAAAGCAATTTTTTTTTTTTTTAATGTATGCCATTTTAAATTGGATGCCAGAAACACGTTTCAAAAAAGTTGGGATGGGGGCATGTTTACCACTGTGTTGCATCACCTCTTTTGTTGTATTTTTCTTTTCATAATGTGCCAAAAGTTTTCAGTGGCTGACAGTTCTGGACTGCAGGCAGGCCAGTTTAGCACCTGGACTTGCTTACTACAAAATCATGCTGTTGTAATTTGTGCAGAATGCACAATATGTTGCTCAGAATTAATGGCCACTTCACAGATGTGCATGTCACCCAAGCCATCTGCACTAATGCACCCCCGTACCATCACGGATGCTGACTTTGAACTGTGTACTGATAATGAGCTGGATGGTCCCTCTATTCTTTAGAGGGTGCGGCGTCCATGATTTCCAAAAAGAATTTCAAATCTTGATTTGTCGGATCACAGGAAACTTTTCCACTTCACCTCAGTCCATCTTAGATGAGCTTGGGCCCAGAGAAGGCGGCGGTGTTTGAACTGTGTTCACAGACAGTGGTTTTCAGAAGTGTTTCTGAGCCCATGCAGTGATATTCACTACAGAATCGTGTCTGTTTTTAATTCAGTTCCCGCCTGAGGGCCCAAAGATCACGCCCAGCTATTTCTCCAGATTCTCTGAATCTTTATAAGATATTATGTACTTATGAACCTCCAAGTTCTTTGCTATTTTAAGCAATTAATTTATATTAAGAAATGTTATTCTTAATTTGCTGCACCATTTGCCCACACAGTCTTTCACAGAATGGTGAGCCCCTCCATATCTTCACTTCTGAAAGACTCAGTCTCTCTGGGATGCTCTTTTTATAATCAACCATGTTACTGATCTGTTGACAATTAACATAATTAGTTGTGAGATGTTCCACCAGGTGTTTT